CTGTTCTTGTCACATCTCAGTTTACTGGGTTCTAGACCACGTGTCTTTGCCTTATTGAGCAATGATATTTCTATCTTCCCTTACGTGTGCTCAGGGCTGGCTCTGTAGACCAGTGCCGGGGCTGCTTCTAGTCAGTATTCTGAACCTGCAGCAGGCCCTCTGGCTGGTTGGCTGGTGGGAGCAGGCTCTGCTCTGGATGCTGTGTGAGCACCAGATATGTTCCCTCCAGTCACACCGATTGGAGCATTACTGTCTGGTACAGAGAGGTCTCAGATCCCCAGGGTCATCTTTGACCCACCAGGACTGCATTAAATCCAAGGAGTCCCTGGCTGTCCTCTGCACAGCGGCCTGCCACTCTGTCGGGGCCCTTATCTAGACAGCCGTAAGGCTTTCCCTCACAATCTACTGACTCAGTGGCTGGCCAGTTCTTGCTTCACAGGTTTTGTTGCTTGGTTGCTTGTTTTATACAAGAATGAAAAATCCCTACCTGCTATTCCATCTCAGTTGTACAAAATATATTCCTTTTTTTTCTTTTTTTCTCTTTCCTAGCCCCAGAAAGCCTGATGCAAGCCCTGGAAGATTTAGATTACCTGGCAGCCCTGGACAATGATGGGAATCTTTCCGAGTTTGGAATCATCATGTCCGAGTTTCCTCTGGATCCACAGCTCTCAAAGTCTATCTTAGCATCCTGTGAATTTGACTGTGTAGATGAAATGTTAACCATTGCCGCCATGGTAACAGGTATTCCTTAATGACCCTTCTTTTGTACCACAAATCCACAACAAGTCTAGATTTAAATGGAGTAAGCAGCAGGGACATGGTTGGTCCATCTAACTTCGCAGATAATAGTAAAGTAGGGTTTTGTTTGTTTCTTTTTATTTTTGAGACAGGGTTTCTCCATGTGGTCCTGACTGTCCTGCAACTCATTCTGTAGACCAAGCTGGCCTTGAACACATAGATCCACCTGCCTCTGTCTCCCACGGCCCTACCGTAAAGTGTTTTAACAAACTAGAAAGGGGAGATTTTGTTTAAATTACCTAAATGTAACAATTCAAAAGGTCATGCCTGGCTTCTTGCCAACAGGACTAGTGTAGTGCAAACAACAAACAGCCACGATAACCGTGTGGCTTTGCTTCCTGCCAGCTTCACTGATACTGGCTCCTATATTTTCACGTAGTCTCTGACAGGAGCACGGACTAAATGCTGTGCCGCTTTGGAACGTAGTCCTAATCCTGTGTCTGACTCGCGGGCCCCTTGACACCCTGCTTCCACTGTATGAGCAGGGCACTAACTGCCGTTGGCAAAGCAACATGCACAAAAGGGAGAAAGAATTAAGACAGCTCACTCTCAATTTCTTTGGCTTCCAAATAAACAAGAATATTGAGAACACCGTATTAATTCAGAGAACCAAGACAGGACAGAGGCTGTCCTGCCTCTGGGCACACTGGGCCAGGATGAAGTGTGTCCTCTGCATTGCTAACTGTGACCTCTTGCATCTTAAAGCTCCCAGTTGCTTCTTGCACGTGCCTCAAGGTGCGGAGGAGGCTGCTGAGACTTGCTGGAAAACGTTCTTGCACCCTGAAGGTGATCACTTTACGCTCATCAATGTCTACAGGGCCTACCAAGACACAGCTTTGAACTCTACCAATGAGCGTACGTGAACATGATCCCCAAAAACCACTTTCCCGTTCCTTCCCCCTTCCCCAGTTGAGGCTCAGATATTTGAATTATCTGTAGCCTTCCTTCTGATAGTCCCACCAGCCGCTCGGACACCTAGCATGTCACAGCCCAGGTCTAGATTTGGGGAGCTTGAATACTCTAGGCAGCCAGCTCAGAAGCAGCAAGCCTGAAGCACAGTAACAGAGACAGAGAGTATGGGGTAAGGGGGGAGGGCGGGGCAGACATCCCTGGTACCCTCCTTGTCCCTGAACTGCAGTGGCTATCATCATAGTGTCACAGGAGAGGGCCTGCTGCTGGGGGAGCTGGCAGCACCTCTTCAGGACGAGGGACAGAGGATTCCCCACAGGAGGCTCTTCTGCTTCCCACAGACCAGCCTCTACTTCCTTTGCTCCAGAAGATTGTATAAAAAATATTTGCAATGTGGAAAAATCTCGAGCTCAGTTTGCAAGGCAGTAGGATCCCATCAGGAGCAGAGATCGTGTTTCTAGAGTGGACTAGAGGGACAGTTATTGGATTTTGAGAACATGTCTGGGTGATGGTGTCTGACCAAGTATGTACTCCTCCTACTCCTGTGGGACAATGGACAGGACAAGGTAGATGAGGGTCTGCTGTCCATTGGGCCAAGGCCATCTGCAGTCTTCAGTCAAGATGCAATTACAGGTGCCAAGAAAGTACCTTGAAACACAATCAGATTAGTACATTTGGATTAAAAGAAAGTTGCAGGGCTGGAGAGATGGCTCAGGGCTTAAGAGCACTGGCTGCTCTTCCAGAGGACCCGGGTTCAGTTCCCAGTATCCACATAGCAGTTTACAACTCTCTGTAACTCCAGTTCCAGGGGATCTGACGCCTTCACACCAATGCACATAAAATAAAGTTAAACAAATTATTTAAAAATAAAAAGAAAGAAAGCTGCACCCAGGGTCGATGAGGAACTAACATGACATAATGAACTACCAGGTCAGCCTGGTAGGGCCTTACCAAATGAAGTATGGGTCTAGCTCTGGGTCTCCAGCAGTACACATCTGTACAGAGAAGAAAGTGCAGATGCTTCCCTCCCTATAGCCACGAGCTGGGAAACGTGCTTCTGACACTCCAGTATACTGGGCTCACAGCAGCTCAGCAGCTGCTACAGGTGTGGCTGATCCCACAGCCACCGGAGAGCCCTATCCTAGCTGCCTTCCTACCATTCCCTCACCTGACCTTCGATAGTGCTTAAAGACCACATCATTTCTGAGTGGCCTTCTGTTCTCCCTCTAGACTGTGTGGAGACGTGGTGTCATGATTACTTCCTCAACTGTTCTGCTCTGAGGACGGCAGATGTTATCCGAGCAGAACTCCTAGAAATTATTAAGCGGATCGAGCTTCCCTATACAGAGCCTGCCTTTGGCTCCAAGGAAAACAGTCTGAACATCAAGAAATCGCTGCTCTCTGGATACTTTATGCAGGTAAGCAGGAGTGGAGCTGCCTTGGTACGTGTGGCATGAATTCCACACACATAGGAGACTCAGCCGGCAATCTCCTTACAGTGATAGTTTTTATTGACCTTAACTTTTTAATAACACTAAAAAGATGTCAATTTAAGATTTGGTATTTAAACATACTTCTCAAGCCAGAGTACTGTATGTAAATTTTGTCTAAGGAGACCGATCTTCTTCTCTAGAGGGAAGAAGACATCACAGCTCCTCTTTCCCTTTTACCAGTGATCTGAATGCCTAGCAAGTTAAAGTACTGCCTCAGTTGTTTCTTTCATTTCCGTTGAGAGGCTAAGTAATGTCCATGACAGAGGTAGGTATGTTCTTCTCATCAGAGTGGGCCACAGTGCACCCCAACGAGCAGTTTTAATGGAGAGATAGATGACATTTCAGTATAGCTCTCTTCACCTGTGAGGAAACGTAGGTTATCTATGTAAGAGGTATGGTAAAGATGAGCTGAGCTAAACACTAGGCATAAAGCCTTGGTAGTGTGGACAGTGATGGCAGAGCTGGTGGCATGCTACGTTCTATTTCATGACCCAAACTTTACAGTCAACTGTTTCAGCAGCTGCCCTAAAGTGCTGAAGCTAACTGTCGTCACTATTTCAAGTTTTAAGACAAAAGTTCACTGTGACTTATTTCTATGATTTGAAAACAGGAAACATGGGTAACAAAATTTTAATTTTATTCTGTATAAAATTTTTCAACTAACATGTTTGTTTCGATTCCCTTTTTCTTTGACCCCGCCTTTTAGATTGCTCGGGATGTTGATGGGTCAGGTAACTACTTAATGCTCACACACAAGCAGGTTGCGCAGCTGCATCCACTGTCAAGCTACTCCATCACCAAGAAGATGCCCGAGTGGGTCCTCTTCCATCAGTTCAGCATAGCCGAGAACAACTACATCAGTGTCACCTCAGCAGTCTCACCCGGGCTGTAAGTCTGACTGAGGAGGGAGGGCTTGCTTTGAACGCTGGCTGGATCTGGGGGTCGGGGGTGACTCAGAAGAGGAGGAGGAACGGTGAGGTTGAAGAGACAGGCAGTTCCCAGAGGGTTTGTAGGCCACAGAGGGTTTAGATGTTATTCCAAGCACAAACAATGCACAGCAACTGGTGTTTGAAACAAGAGGAAGGCCTCTATATGCTATGAAGATCTCTGTATAACTGGTAAGTGGAGAAACACTGAGAACAGTCTCAGAGATGACTCCATACTTAAAGGCACCTCGTAATGTTCAAGGTCACAGCTTACTTACAGAAGTGGATTCGTAGGAGAACTATGAGGTTAAGAAACAAAGACGCTCTCCCTGGTGCCTCAAAGCTCTTTCCAATCATATGCTCTGATCCCACTCAACATAATGGCCCCGTACTAGAGAAGGAACACTCAGAATACTAGAGAAGGAACACTCAGAAGTGCAGAGAGACTGACCGCACAAAAACCAGAGTGCATATTGTGTACAGAGGCAGAACAGGGTACCAGATCTTCAGATGAAATACCAGGGCCATGTATTCTCTGGGGCCGGGGCAGACTCCCACACTCCTGACATGTCTGCCAGCCCCCAGCTCTCATCACTGTTTGTTGGAATGAACAGGTTTATGCAGCTGGTCCCACAGTACTACTTCAGCAACCTGCCTCCTAGTGAAAGCAAGGACATCCTGCAGCAAGCCTCGAGCCACCTACCCACCACAGCTGTGAAAAAGGACCAGGATGAGTGTGACAAGTGCCCCGATGCTGCGGAGCAGAGATGCTCGATCCAGTGACCTCTCCAAGACAGAGTGCAATAAGGACACCAAGGGGAGGCTGGCGGTGGGCTGCTGGAGCCAGGACAGTCCTTGACAGTACCACTTCAAATGATTTTAAAATAAAAAAATAGTTTTTATTAAGTTCTTAAAATTACTATTCCATCTTTTTCTTATTGGAAGTTTTTAACCAATCATTCATAATTTGACCAGAACTTAAAAAAAAAAAATTAAAATGTAAACGTGTCATAGACACATGGAACAGAAGCCTACTTTTTGTAGAGAACTTGACTGAATAAAATAATGAGTTTTTCAGTATCTCCCCAATGGTTTCTTGGTAATTATACATAAACAAGTCCTTCACTGTCCGGGGGAAATGGACTAGACAGATAGATGGTCTTTCAGCTTTTCCATGATCTCACTCATCTTGTCATCTGGGATTACCATCACAGTTCGCAAGGGCTTCATCGGCACATCATCAAAGGACCACCTGCCTCCCAGACAAGTGTCGCTCTCCCCCTGCACCGAGTAGCTGAACTTCAGGATCGCTTCCTGTAGCAAGAGGAGACGAGGAAAATGTAGACAACTCAAAAGGCAGAGCTCATTTAACCCAAAATAAAGAATTCTGTCTGGTATATGTGCTATAAGAAAAACAGTGGAGCTGGGCGGTGGTGGTGTGAGCCTTTAATCCCAGCATTCAGGAGGCAGGGGCAGGTGGATCTCCCTTGAGTTGTTGAATTCAAGGCCAGCCTGGTGTAAGCAGTGAGTTCCATGACAGGCTCAAAACCTACACAGAAAAACTGTCTCAAACAAACAAACAAACAAAAAAAAAAAAAAAAAAAAAAAAAGAAAGAGAAACAGGAAGGAAGTAGTTCTGAATAAAGTAGGTTCAAATGGACACTTTGGGGAGACCAAATTTCAACTCACAGGAGCCCATGGATTAAGGTATGCCATTTTCAAGTCAGCCAGTGAGAGAAGAGAGGTGACACTGTTTCTAATTTCAGAGTCACATTTCTTGACCACTTGAGTGTTAATATCGTGACAGGTAAGTGAAATTGAGAACGGTCCTCAAATGCTGACCTTCATATGCTTGGCAGCTTCCTGAGCTTGGGGACACCGTGTCAGCATGGTGTTTGCATAGCCAGACCACGTTGAAATCCCACACAAAACTCTTGAAATTGTTTTCATTTGTAGAAAGCATATTTTTGCTTGTTTTTCTCCTGTATGTGGTACATGCATGTAAGCGTGTGGAATTGTGTGTGAGTAAAGGTCAAACGACATCAGGTGTCCTCATCAGTCGACCCTACTGCCTTGAGACAGAGCACTAGAGCAGGAAGCTGACCAGCAAGCGCTCAGCAAGCGCTCAGCATTCTCCTGTCTCTGTGCATGTCCTGTATTTTCACGTGGGTATTAGGGATTTTAACCCAGGTCCTCACACGACGAATGACTCTCCCTAGCCCATTTTGGTCATTTACTTCTTGTAAAACAAAGGCAGAGCCGAATTTCTACTGCTTCTGTCAGTGGGGAGAGCTCAAAGAGTGAGTATTCTAGCTTTGCAAGTCTGATCCCTGGAACAGCTGGATGCAGAGGTGTGTCTGTAACCCCAAAATCCCTGGGAGGCAAAAGCCTGTCTGCACAGCAGCTGCAATGAGACCCTACCTCAGTGAAGTGGAAGTACCCCTAAGAGATTAAATTTCAAGATTTCTGAAGAGGGCTGTGTAAGAAAGAATATAGGAATACTGTCTGGGATTTGGTTGCCCACCAAGGTATGAGCCACCAATATAGAAAATGCTAGAGATTCCCAGTGGGATGCTATCCAGATCTAAGGGCACAGAACAGCCGTGATCACCTTCACCCATCCATATCTACAAATGAGTAACTTGGAACTGAAACATGCCCATGTAGCTTGAACATCACACTGAACATGCTCTAAGTGCCTAATTGGTCCCAGTCAGTAACCACCCACCCCCACCACCACCACACTATAATGGGAGGCCTTTGTGTGTGCAAGATGTACCAGACAGTGGGTTAGCCATAGAGAAAAGTGGGGTGGAAGGACTTTGGCATAAATCTTATGGATAAGTCTTATTTTCAGGAAAATTCTACTGATAGCTAACATAAATGAAGCAGGCCATTCTTACCTCATAGAAAAACTCTTCCTCTGCATTTGCGAACATCAAGGCTTCCTGCTGAAGACCATCCTGCTTCTTTTTGGAACTGGATTTTTTTGCTTCCACAAATGTCTTACTAATCAGCAGATAGAAGTAGCACTTCCCGCATGGCTTATTGGTTCTTTGTGCGTCCAATAATTCTTTCCTACGAGACATCCATACACACATTGGTTACTGCTGGGTTAACTCTGTCTAGAGCCCAGAGGAAACCAAGACAGCACCTTCTCTGGACTCTGCTCAGCATGGGCTGGGCATTTTCACTTATGCTATTGGCTAGTCTTAAGAATGTGCTAACATGGGCTGGAGAGATGGCTCAGAGGTTAAGAGCACTGGCTGCTCTTCCAGAGGTCCTGAGTTCAATTCCCAGCAACCACATGGTGGCTCACAACCATCTGTACTGACATCTGGCGCCCTCCTCTGGCATGCCGGCATACATCAAGGCAGAATGTTGTATACATAATAAATAAATAAATCTTAAAAAAAAAAAAGAATGTGCTAACACTGATTTTTGCAGTAAACAGTGAAGAATATGAGTTCAGAAAAACACATACCCACTAACTCACGATCTCACAGAGTCCCTCAAATCACTGTTTTGTGCAAATTTAAAAATAAATAATCTCCGTTCTTTAAACAATCAGCATTTAACTGCACACAGGCACAGCGGATGGCACTGTGCACGTGGCTACACGGGCTCCATCACGAGTCTAGGACTGGCTTCAACACACTGCAGAAGCTGCAGATACGGAGAGCTAAATTCTAGGATAATCTGTAAAATGGCAATGAGAGTTTCTTTCCTTCCAAGACTGACTGGCCACCTTTAAGCAAAACTAATAAATCCAGAACAATCCACTTCAGCTCCAACACAGTCAGCAGAAAGCAGATCAAGCCTGTGAGACCAGGTAAGCAGGAGCCTCAGTCGCTTACAGAAACCAAAGATACAGAAAAACCATTTAGGGCACAGGAGCAGTCTGAGCTGCAGCTTAGGAGGTTGGGAGAAGAATTGGGGCATCTAAACAAAAGGAGACAATGCGATGTGGAAGACCATCCCTGGGCTAGGAGACTCTGTCTACATTTTAACCCTGTGGTGGTACAATCCTTAGTTCATTTAATTGTCTAAATGTTGTTTAAATGTTCTCAAGTTGAAACTCCTGCATTAAAACAACAGAAGAGCAAGAAGTAGACTATTCCTTAAGGTTGTGGTTTCACTAGTCAAAACAGAAGTTAGGAATTGGACTCTGGTTTTGTAGTATTTGTTCAATGTTTTGTCAAATCAGTCTGTGAAAGTAGAAACTGTCAGTCAAATGTAAAAGGCATGTGAATATTTGAAAATATTAAAATTACTGTCATCAGTCATCAAAACTGTTGGAGGGGCTGGATGCCAGAAATGGGTGCCCTCGCACACTATTCCACTGCCCTCTCTCGGCGCCTCACAACCCAGGCTGGACTGCGTGCCAACCTACACATGCTGCACATAGGTGCCACTTCTGAATCCACGGGGGTAAAAACTGACTGCGGCACTGCCCAGTGTCTCTTACTGGAGCTGCTGGTGCATCGGCAGCGCAATCTGTGGAGGGACGTTAATGAATCTTTCACTGAGCAGAAAGCCCACAGGCTTGCTGGTGTCGTTCAACAGCTGGTCCAGCTGTTCAACCATGCTCTTCTCACAGTTCTTCTCACAGAAGCTCAGAACCAACTCTTTAATTTGTTCCGCACACTGCGTGCCCTAGAAAGTAAAGAGAAGGCTTTGACTTTTACCTCACAAGTAGAGGGTTTCCTCCCACTGCCTTTAGACGCCAGTGTTTCTTCAGTATTGACTGCTGAAGAACTCCCCAAAAGTAACTACACCTAATTACCATCCCATGACTGATGGCAGATCATGCTTGTAATTAACACTCACACACTGGAATAGCAGTCCTACTCTATCTCAGAAACAGTTGGAAATTAACTGGAAAGTTCCTTTGAAAACAGGCCGACTGTGGGCTGCACCTTATCCAGAGAATAAACAGCTGGCATGGTTTTTACTAGAATTCGTTATTGAGTCAATCGAGAGAGATTAAGAGCCCACGGGCAACTCTGGAAGCTGCTGACCAAAGTCTCTGTATCCACTACACTAGGAGCAAAGAGAGCAGCTGCAGAGACCCTGCCAACAGATCCTGTGTCAGCACCAGCATCTCCACACCAGGGACTAGAATGCTTGATGACTGCCAGCGGGAGTAATCAGCTTTAAGCTGGGGACAAATCACTCCAAACAAAACAATGCCACACTGAAAAAGGGACAGAGCAAGAGCACATACCCTGATATCATATTCTGCCATAGAAGACTCCATTTTGACCAGAGATTCAAGACTTCAAGTGCCACCCAGTAAAACTGACCTTTCTTTCAGTTAAATTTAAAAGGCTTATGAAGCCGAAGATCTCATCTTCATCCACTTCATCACCGCTGTCTTCTGAAACATCGGTTTGCTGTTTCAGAAGGAAAGAGTACTTGAATTTTACATTATTTGAGTGGGAAGAAGTATAACACTAATTTTTCATTTTTAAAAACCAAAGCTTGTTTTTCCTGCTGTCAGCTCCCAAAGCACCGCGTCCTGAATGCTGTGTGGTGGCGTTCACACCACCTCACCTCCAGCCCATGCTGGGTGGTGGCGTTCACATCACTTCACCTCCAGCCCGATCTGCTCTTCCTTTCCATTCTAGGTGACCTCATCCTGCTCTGCATTTTTCTTTTAAACAAAAGATTCTTTGGGGTTTCTTTTCTTTTTTTTGGTTTGTTTCTTCAAGGCAAGGTTTCTCTGTTAACCCTAGCTGCCCTAAAACTCACTCTGTAGACCAGGCTGGCCTTGAACTCACAGAGATCTGCCTGCCTCTGCCTCCTAAGTGCTGGGATTAAAGGGGTGCGCCACCACTGCCCAGCTGGCAAGATGTCTCATGTTCAACAAAACTAGATGACACAAATGGCAAACGAGATGGTCATTCATGCACTAGTCCGCCAGGTTCTCTATCGGACGATTTTCCTGTACTTGAGTGGCCCCCAGCATCTGTGCCAGGACCCATGCAATAATGCCCTCCCTACTCCAGAGCCTCCTCCGCACACTGAACACAAAGCAGGAAGGAACTGAGATGAATCTGACTTCTGTCCAAATGGCAGGTCCACAGGCCAAACAGATGTCTGCTGCAATTCTAAGCTGTGGGGGAGTTACTGTAACACAGCAACAGGAAACCAGGACTCCGGCTGAAAGAGCAGAGTCAAGTCCATGCTGGACTGGCACCTCATTTTCTGGGGCTCTATCTCTCTACTAGACAATTCCTTTCTTAAACACTCCTCCTCACTTCTATGAAATCATGCGCTGCTTTCCCCTTCCCGCGGCAGCCATCCTAACAGTTCTCTAATGTTTCTGTCACTTATTTTGCTGAGTCGAGCACAGCTGGCATTACCAGGCGCCTGTTCTCTGCCTGCCCTTGGCAATCCCAATCGCATCTGATTTCAATGGCTGACATCTGCTGAAAACTCAAGGCTCTAGCTGCTGCTGCTCAGGATCTCACATACACACCCAGGCACCCCAAACTCAAAGTGTACAAACCCCATGACGTGGTCATCCCCTCAACCTTTCTTCTACGTTTGCTAACCTCATTGCTCTAGCAGGAACTTGTGCATCATCCTTGACTATTCTCTCTGTCGCTCAGAACCAAGTACACTAAACCATATCATATTTCACCTCCCAGGTATCATCTAAGTCAGCCCTCTTCTCCCCTCCCCATCGCTGATGCCTGGAGTCATGCACGTAACATCCCTGGACCACTGCAGTGGCCTCTGGGCAGTCCTCACTAGTACTTCTTTCAGCTGGAGCTAAAGAGGACAACGTCCCTGTATTATCAATCACCCCAAGTACCTTAATCACGCTCCCGATGTGGTTCTGTTGAATCAAAAGATCCGTTAGCTCTGCAGTGTTCACGGGAGCTTTTAGGAAAAGCTTAAAGGAGAAAAAAATATTTCAAATTAAAATCAAAGCACAATTTCTAGTAACACATTGATTCTGTTATCTAAACAAAAGCAATAAGATGTAATAACCTGATCGAGATGGCTGAGAAAAGTAACCCCAGGAAGAAAACAAAAATCCAGAGGGGAAGAAATTTCAGAAAAGGCACAGCCAACAGTGGTCAGCAAACAGGCATGGAGGGAAGACAAACACAGGCCATGTTATCGGAGGTAAAGGCAGAGTACAGGGAGCAATGTGGACTCTGTGGCACCAGCAGGTGCAATTATGTAGCTATCATATAAGGACTGATGCCCTGCTTCTGAGCTGCTGATGCAATGTGAGGCTGGCCTTGGGCCCTTATATTACCCTCTTTCCCTGCCATGGTGGACAGCATCCCCTCTGAACTGTAAACCGAACGCTTCCTCCCTAGTTTGGATGTAAGCTACAGGAGAGAGACTAGCGGTGTCTTAGGCAGTGGGCACGTGAAAAGGAAAGCATTCCAGGACATGGCAAACTTGAACACAGTAACCAGGGGCGGGGCAGAGCGAAGGGGCACAAAGAGTCATTCACCCTACAAAAGGGGAGATTCCTTCGGCAAAGAGCAGAAGACAGGCGTGGGGTTCTGGAAAGGCCGTACCTGTTGCAGTAATTTCTTAATTCCGCCATAATCGTTATCTGAGATGGAGTAAGCTTCAAATTCAATATTCACTTCCTGTAAAGAGATCATCACAGATTCAGAAATGATGCAGGCAGCATTTCCATTTTGCAAATTTTTCTTTTCCCTTGGTTTCCATTCTTTTAGGGCTCTTCTCTACCTGCAGAAAACGCCTCAGAGAGGTGGGGTGGAGAAAACATGACATGTTAGTCTAATGTGGTGGTGCAAACCAGCAACTTGGGAGATAGAGAAAGGACGATCAATACTCTGAGACCAGCCCAGGCTACATAGCAAGACGTTGTTTCAAACCAGGGAAGGGAGGGAAGGAAGGTTACCTAAATAACTATCAATGTCAGGCTTCAACACAAGCAAGCCTGAAACCAGAAGGGTGCTACAGGTCTGCAATGCCAACCGCAGGTTCGGGGGTTCGGGGGGGGGGGGGCGGAAGAACACCTCAATTTTAAGGTCGTCCTGGTCTTCATAGGGAGACTCATTCTCAAAGAAAAAAGAAAAGTTAAACTCTCAGGCAGCCACAGAGAGGGAATCAAATGATTCTTCACCTGGCTTCAAAAAGCACCTGTAAAGACAAGCTCACTTCAAGTCTACAGAATGACCAAAGTTTAATTTGGACATAGATGTGAAGCTGTACTTTGTTCACTTAGCAAACATTTACCAAGTAACAGCAGGTACTAAGCACTTGAGAAGAAATGGGGAAGCCACGCCTTGTGGCACAGGCCTGTGATCTCAGCACTCGGGAGGGTGAAGCAGGGAGACAGGGAGTTCAAGGTAAGGTTGGGTTACGGTGTGAGTTCAAGGCCAAACAAGTGACGCAGAAAGACGTAGGAGAGGAACCGGTGAGCAAGGCAGGTGTGAATGACTCTGCTCTGGAGCCGACACAGGACACAGAAAACGAGTCTCAACAACTGTACGTGCCATTCAAAAGGCGGGGGCAGGCTGGAGAGAGTGCAGCAGGTAAAGGCACTTACTGCCAAGCCTGACTGCGTGAGTCCCTGGACTAAGATGGTGATGGTGGGAAGACAGAACTGCGCGCTGCAAACTGCCTTCTGACTTCCACACCTGCACTGTGGCATATGAGTGTGTGTATGCACGCACAAACACGGGAGGGGGGGTCATAAATGAATTTGTAAAAGAAGATAGGGATGATGGTAAGACAGCTCAGGGGTAAAGGCACTGCCACCGAGCCTGCCGACCAGAGTTTCTTCCTCGTGACCCACGTGGTAGAGTGAGACAACCAACTCCTACAGCACCACCTGACATTTACACAAGAGGCTATGGCACATACACATACAAATAAATGTAATTGAATATATACGTATATAGACATGTATATATTTTTTTAAAAGATACACTGTGCTTATAGCTTAAAACTAGGAAATCAGAAAGTCGAGAAACGCTTGCTTTAAAAAGGTGGCATGAACTAAGAATAGCAGAGGAGGTTTCCTGGCACGAAGAACAGCAATACAAGCCCCTAAGGCAGGAGAAATTATGGTGAATTGAAGAGGCTAGAAGAAGGCACATGTCCCCAGCCGCCTAACTTCTTTAATAAGCAGCTAGCAACAGAATTCAAGAGAAAAAGCCAGCTATCTCCATCTGTCCTTGAAGTTAGGCTCTATAGGACCTGAACTATGCGCATTCCTTTATTCCTGATATACCACTGTTTTTTTAAAAAAGTGATTTGAGCTAGGTGGTGGCAGCACATGCTTTTAATCCCAGCAATTGGAAGGTGGATCTCTGTTCGAGGCCAGCCTGGTATACAGAGTGAGTGCCAGGACAGGCTCCAAAAAGCTACACAGAGAAACCCTGTCACAAAAAACAAAAACAAAAAGATTTGAGATTGATTCTGATCTTCCAAGATAATTTTCATGGTCTTTTACATCAGAGAAATAAATTGCAGGTGAATAAATGTATCAGAAAATGAAAGCCTTCTTCAATTAAATAAAGAAAATCCAGCAAGGCGGTGGTGGCGCATGCCTTTAATCCCAGCACTCGGGAGGCAGAGACAGGAGATCTCTGTGAGTTCGAGACCAGCCTAGTCTATAAGAGCTAGTTCCAGGACAGGCTCCAAAGCTACAGAGAAACCCTGTCTCGAAAACCAAAAAAGAAAGAGAGAGAGAGAGAAAGAAAAAGAAAGAAAACCCACAAAGAATTTCAAAATAGAGACCTGCCCTAAAAGCTCTCTAACAACTACTTCTGTCGGGCTGGAGGGATGACTCAGAAATTAAGAGCATTGGCCGCTCTTCCAGAGGACCCAGGTTCGAATGTCAGCATCTACACAGAGGCCAACAAACATCTGTAACTCCAACCCCTAGGGATCCGATGCCTTGTATGGCCTCTGTGGGCACAGCATGAATGTGGTACATGTATATGCAGGCAAAACACACAAACACACAAAAGGAATTTAAAGGCATATGTGAGGGGCAAAGCTACTCTGACTCCTAAGGTCCGAGTGAGAAAGCTTTCCTAGCCTTAGCGTCATACACCTGTTCTCAAAGCACACACACAAGCTGATGGATCCCTGCCCCCACCCCCGTTGTTTCTTTTTTCCTCCACATAACTATATATACACATTTCCCCTTAACTTGCTCTGCGGTCTCACTTGTAAAACAGTGATAATTCCTAAGTTCATGGTGCTGAAGTGAGAACTAAATGAGTTAATACAAAATGCAGCCCCTGGGGGTATGTTTAATACTATTATTATCACTGTCAATTTCTAGAGGGTAAATTATTGAGCCAGGAGTTACAGGCACTTTAAAGTTTGATAAATCCTGTCAGATTACCCGCCAAAGAGATCGCGAAGATTTATACTCCCACCAACAGAGCGTGCAAGTGCTTATATTGACACACTATTATCCTTTCTCTTGGCATTCTTTCTGTGTCTATGATAAACAGCTCGACCAAAAGCAACCTGGGAAGGAAAGGGTTTCTTTTATCTTACACTTCCAGGTAATTGTTCCTCATGGCGGGAAGTTTGGACAGGCGCTCAAGGCCCGAACTGAAGAAGAGACCACTGTTTACAGGCTTGTTTATACCACCCAAGACCATCTCACAGTGGGCACGTCCATCATTAATTAAGCAAATACCCACAGACAAGCACACGGGTCACTGTGGTGGAGGCAATCCCTCATCTGAGGTTCCCTTCTCCCACAGTTTATGATTACAGTACACACGTTTTTAGTCATGGGCAGTCAATGTTATAGATTTTCCATGTTAATGAAAGAAGCACAAGTGTGGATGGGGGGTTGGGAGTCGCGGGCTCAAGGCGGGTGGTGGATAACTCAGCCGGGAAGGACTGCAGGGAATAATGTGTAGAAAAGCCTGAAGTAAGAACGTGACACGTCCGGTTCAGCTCCTGAATCACAACGACGGGAAATCACAACTCCCCACAACCACTGTCACTTTCCCACAGCTTCGGTTGCCTGAATGTTTTTCCCCACTCAGATCTATGAATCTACACCAAAAATATGGTCACGTGTGCCTCACCTCGTCCACGATCTCGTCTTCATCATCTTCTTCCTCACTGTCTTCATCGTCGTCAACGTCTTCTTCCTCATCTTCCACCTCATCCTCTTCTTCCTCCTCGTGGTGACCCTGCACTCCCAGCCGCTGAACCCCGTTTCCCACCGCTCGCTTCTTAGCTCGGGAAGCCATGACGCCGGCCACACTGCGCCTGCGCAAGTCCCGCCCCTTTCCTTCCGGACCCTCTCTTCCGGACTAGAGGTAGACTGGTCCAAGAAGTTCGCCGGGACGTCGGTGCGACATAGAGAGCGGCGCGGAGGAGTCCCACAGGACTAATCTGCCCGTTTGTCCTCCCCACTGGGGTCGTGCTCAGACCTCCTCTTCTTCCCTCCATCCTCCCGCCCTCCTCATTCGCTCCGGGTCTCCCCCTTGTGCGCAGTGGTTTGGCCCATCCTTCTGCGTCCCTTCCGCCGGCGCCTGGAGGCCAGTGCGCGTGCACAGCCAGATGTGGGCGGGTGCCCCACGCGCCTGAGGTACGAGCGCGGGGATAGCTGGCTGCGGGGTGAGGGGCGGCTCCCGGTTGTCTGTGCTTAGCAGCCTCGGCTGGGACCGCGAGGTTCTTGCCCCGCGGCGTGCAGCTCGGTCCTGCCTCTTAGCCCGTGAGGTGGGTGTCGGGCCCAGGACCCGACTAGGACTCAGGCCCGTGGACGTGCACGCAGGCCCTAGCGATCCGTGACACCGCGGGGCAGGGACCCGGTGCAGCTGCCAACTAGGGGCTGACCGGCACCGGTGGAAGTCCGCTCCATAAGGCCCGCTGATCCTGGCAGGGGCCGATCCCGCGCCATCGCCATAAAAAAGTCCTAAGAAGACAAGAGGTCTTTTGCTGCCACGGGCCAACGGTGTCTTTAAAAGACTTGTTTGGTAAGAATAGAACAGAAAGAAAGGGATTGCGGCAAGTTAGCGAGTGTACCCCTCCTCTGCCACTGCTTGTGGCTAAATGAATTACTGGTCCAACGTTTCAGAGTTCAACAGAAGCCAGATTTTTTGCAAGGAATATCCTGACGGTTAAAACTTCTATCAGATAAATCAGGTCTACGGTCAGGGTTATCACACAGTCGACCGATTTTCAGCTCCTTGTAAAGGTTATCGAGAAAGATCACTAACTAGGGAAAACATTTGCTTCCTGGCAAGAAGCTCTGTGGTTCTCCCTTTCCTCTGTAAAATAACGGCAGCATATGAGACTCCCAAACCAGAGTGAGCTGCCCCTAAGGAAGCCTTTGCCAGAGAAATTCAGGGACTCTAAATAACCCCAGTGGTCCTTCATCAGGAGGAGATATCAGGATACCAAGGCCCCCATTAACCCTGAGTCCCCATGATGGTAGTATGTGAGATTCAGGTGTCCCGGGCTTTTGTGTCTACTGGGCTATATCGTGGACAGTAATGACACCCGGACTCCATCTCTGATAGAGTGATTTAAAATGACTGCCTTGGGTTTTGTAACATGTTCCTTTAATGAGTACCTATCACAAGCTAATAATAGAAAAAAAGATTCAAAGCATGTCCATAGAATTGCACAGAAACTCAAGAACAATTTCCCCCAAGTCTTATTGGTTTTTTCCTTATGGTAAAATATGCATAACAAAGTTTAACACTTAAACACATAGTTGTTGGCCTAAGTTTATCCATACTGTTTCACAACCATCACCACAGTTCCCCAGGTTCAGGATGTGAGATGACCTAGTGGGTAAAATGCTTGATGTGCCTGCATTTCCCAGCACCCACATACTGTAGCTGTAGCCCCAGTACTGGGATGATGGGTAGGATGGAGACAGGTGGATCCAAGACTCACTGGCCAACTAATCAGTGAGCTTCTGGCTCAAGAGAGACCTGCTCTCAAAAAATGAGCTTATGGAGCAGAAGAGTGATAGAAGACAGCACTTACCATCAACAGGTACCCATGCACACGCAGAAAAAACAAGCAAACAAACAAAACAACAGCTCCCCAATATCATTTTCTGCAGCCCCCTGGATTGCTTCACACGGTGGAAAAAGGGAAAGGCTCTCTCCTTGTGCCCTCAGATCGATCAGTCCCTAATCTGGAGCCTGTGGTCAGGGCGTGCATTAGAGTAGCACCTGTCACTAGGTGGCCTCCCTGCGCATTGACAACGACAATGTTGGCTCCCTCATTCCTCCTTAGCACGGGATTTGGCCTAAAGGTCAGCTGGTAGCTCCTTAGGTGGATGAGCCCTGGGCTTCAGATCCGGCTTCTGGTTCTATCTCTACCATTTATTCTGCTGACCTTGGGCAGATTAAGAGCCATGGTTTCCCTTCCTGTAAGATGAGGATTATAGTGGCTTTGCAGGCTTCAGTGAGGATTGTAAATGCTTAGTCCACTCTGACAATTTGATCTGTCAGTTTGAACTGTGAGATGCCCGAATAGCTGCTCTTCTGCGTGTCTAGTGCTCAGCAAGTTTTGTGAACAGGCATTCTCTGAGATAAAGGGTTTGCTGAGCCATATGTGCGCTAGCCAGAAAGGACCAGGGCCCAGGACGCATTTTGTAATTACCAGCATTTAATTAAAAAAGACAGCCAAGATAACGTTTATGACGAAAAAGTGAGAAAGGAAAGCAAATTGTGTACATGGAACTAGCAATGGCTATGAGCACTAGGGGTAACACAATGAAGTCAGACACAGGAACATTTGTGCTTGGAGGGCAGTCTGTAATAAGCGCTCGCCGCTTCTGAGTCCAGGCTGGGGTTAGTCCAGAGAGTTTATGGGTAAATTGGAGCTGGTGGTCTTTCCGACACTGGCTTTTTTGAAGTTTTCCTTCTTAGCCTTGTTTGTTCACGCTGTAGAAAAACACCTTAAATTTACTCAGCATCGTTGGAACTGGGGAAATGACTGCATTTCATTAAAGAGACAGGAAACTCACTCCTAGGAATAAAGCCATTCACTGGCTTCAAAGAATCCAAAGCTTTCCTTGACCTTCATTCTTGAGCCAAACCTGTTCTTTCATGGACACCTGACATTTCTTATTACTGTCCTTCAGGTGGTAGTCAGGGGTCTAACCCAGGACCAGGTGCTGGCTCGTCAGAGCGCTGACTGTTCCTCCTGCCTCTGCTGTTGTCATTCAGATTTCAGTTCAGATGTCACCTCCCCAGAACAGTCTTCCTGGTACCCGGAAAGGTAACCCTTGCAACTGTCAGAACCCTAGTTACTACCTTAGCACCCCACAGCACATGTTAGTACCTGGAATCATACACTCAACCTCAGGTAGATCCTGTAGACCTGACTCATGAGGCTTCCAGACCCAGGGGATTAGGCTGCACTGCTGAACAGTGAACCAGAAAGACAGGTGAGAGGCTGACTTTGTCTTTGTTTTTTTTTTTTTAAAGTATTACTAAAATGTCCTCTGTAGAACTGTGGACCTGTATGCTAGAACCTGGGACCATGGGACCGTGGCAGGGATGTAGCCAGTTGAAGAACACTGCAAGGCCACAGGATTACCTGTTATCCACAGCATCATGCTTTGGCTTTATTATTTATTTGTTTATGTTTTTCGAGATAGGGTTTCTTTGTGAAACAATCCTGGCTTGTTTTGCCTTTTTTTTTTTTTAAGATTTATTTATTATGTATACAGTGTTCTGTCTGCATGTATGCCTGCAGGCCAGAAGAGGGCACCAGATTTCATTACAGATGACAGTGAGCCACCAACTGGTTGCTGTGAATTGAACTGAGGATCTTTAGCAGAGGAGGCAGTGCTCTTAATCAATGAGTATGTGCCACTATGTCCCGCCTGGAGTGAAATTGTTTATGCTGATCTTGGTGCATGGTTTTGATTCGTGTATTTATTACTAGAAGTAAAATTACAGGAAGAGAAGGTATGAATTATGTAAGATGGTACATGTTGATAAATTGTTTCCAGGTTGATAGATTACCTTGGGAAACTTGGTAATATTTAATAAATATGTCTTGAGATGTGGAAAAGTCACTATAACTGAAGGACTTATTAGTTTATTTATTTTGAAAAGGAAAGAATTGCTTATTTATTTACCTCCTCAAAATTAAGGCACTCATTTCTCCATTGGCTGCCACAGTCTGCTTGTCACTTGACTTCACTAATGGCTCTCATTTGCCTTTCCAGGCAGTATCAACTGCTAACACACTCTCCTGTGGCCTTATCAGCGACACACCCAGGTAGCTACACAGAGACTGATTGAGGATTGCCTCATTCTTGTCCTCTGTCCCCTTCCCGCATTGCCTAGGAACAGTCTTTGAGATCTAACTAAGATCGGTTTCCTTGCTCTGTCCCAGTGTCTCTCATAAGGACTGCCAAGGACAATGAAGGTTCTCTTATTGAAAGATGCCAAGGATGATGAGAGTGGCCAGGATCCGTATATCCAGGTGAGTGGCTGAGCCTTATTCCTTGGCCTCTAAACTAGAACTTCCTTGCTAATGGAGGTGGAGTTGGGATGCTAAAACTCAGCGAGCTTGATGCATACATAGCTAACGTGATGCCATGCTCCCTTATTTTCAGATAACACTTAATGTGATTTCATGACCTTTCCTCATTTTCAAGACAGCCCTGGCCAACCAAAAATGACATTCTTTCATTTACAGGAACTGGGATTGTATGGACTGGAAGCTACGCTAATTCCCGTTCTGTCATTTGAGTTTTTATCTCTTCCCAGTTTGTCAGAAAAGGTAAGAGCCCCATGCTAGGGCTTGCCCTCTGTAGAATCCTTGTCAACCCAAGCCACAAGAGTGTTAGCCTCATTTTACACTAGACATGAGCGCAAAGGCAGGACACACTCACCTGAGTGCTGGAGACTCCCCATTAGCTTCTCCCCCTGTGCCTCTATCTGCTTTGTCAGGAAGCTGTGGGCCCTGGAGATAGAGCCCCACGAGCATGTCTTTCAGAGTTAAGGCCCTTTTGGCCCATCACTGGCCTATGCACAGAAGACTCGGTAGATGTTTCCAATTTCAGAGCGAGCTCTGGTGTAGCAACTAAGCCAGGCACCTAGCTAGTAAGGAGAGCCAAATCCAAGCCCAAGGCTTCTGCCCACCACTTTGTTGTACTCAGTACTTGAGAGATACTGCAGGAGCCAGGCAGTGAAGCCTCCAAATGTTTTAGATTGATGGTGGCCTGAGGGTGTGCTGAGTATGGGCAATGCATGTTCAGTACCCAGTAATGCAAAAATCTAAGATGTGGTGCAGATACCTTGAGTAAAGTCAGGTGTACGCAGCAGCTCAGTGCCTGGCTCAGAAGAAGTGTTCGGCAAAGTATTGTGTTTGAAGCCCAGGCTTCGGCTGGGTTTTACCTCCTTGGTAGTCTAGCTGTGTTATGGATCCAGATCAAGTTTGCTATCCTGCCTGCATCTTACTCCACTTAACCATCCCATGCTGGGTCAGGTTGCCCCTCTGTTCTGCTCATCTCCTGGGTTGCAGCTGTATGTCTCTGCCCAAGAAGGAGCTTAAGGGAAGGGCCGTGACAATGAAGCAGTTTACCCAAAGCCCAGAATGGCTCCAGGCCCACAGTCAGCACTAGACAAGTGTCAGGTGGGTGGAGGGTATCAGGATAGGACTAGATAGTTGCCCACTTCTTTGCGTATGCACTTGGACTCGGGCTCATAGTTCTTCAAGAGGCTGAGACTAAGCCAGCATCCTTTGGTCCTGGTGCAGCTGTCTCATCCTGAAGGCTTTGGAGGACTCATTTTCACCAGTCCCAGGGCAGTGGAAGCAGTGAAGCTGTGTCTGGAGAAGGACAATAAAACTGAAGGTGAGGGCGGGTCTGCTCTGGAGTCCACCAGACTCTTATTCTCGTTTCTGTTCTGAGACGCTGCAGTCCAGAGGTAGCTGCATTCCAACAGAACCGAGGTCAGGGCATGCTGGCTTACAGGTGCCCCTAGTCCCCACACAGACTTGACTGAGAGGTACTCTCACTTGCCATTTATTTATTTGTTTTGTTTTATCACTTTTACTATTATTTACTTACTGCTTTATTGGGTACATGCTGTGAATATGTGTGTAGAGATCAGAGGACAGTCCACAGGAGCTGCTTCTCTCCTTCCACCCCATGGGTCCCAGGGATCCGACTCAGATCGTCAGGCTTGATGGCAATTGTCTTTACGTGCTGAACTATATCTCATGAGCCCCTCAATTGCCTTTTAAATGTTCACTTGTATGTTGTGCCAATTTCTTCCTCTGAAAGAGTAAAGTGATACTTTACTCAAGTGGGGAAATTCTTCATGGCCCTGCTACAACCTTCTCAACATGGCTGTTCCTTGTTCTCCATTACAGCAGTATGTAGTGACCCAACCCATCTCCTGACACCCAGGCTCCAGACTGAGTGCTAAATGTAGTCTGGAGACATGCACAGTACTGTGACCTACTTCACGTACTGTCAAAACCCAAGCATGGGGAGTTCTTCCAGTGGGGGAAGCAGTTGGGAGATGGTGAGTGCTGGGGCTTTGGAATTCTGTAGTCATGCAGCCATCCTGGCGCTGTGAGCTCCTTGACCTCTCTTCCCCTTGGTGACCTGACCTTGGAGTAAGCTTCATTATACCCAAATCATGGGGTTACTCTACTCACCAGCTGGAACATGTCTTATGTCTGCTCTCTGCCAGTGTCTTGAGCCGCAGGTTTTTGATGATCACTGCATAGTCTGGGTCCCATAGAGGAGCATCCAGGACGTTTTCAGGGGCAGAGTGTAGTGAGAGAATGGGACTGGTGGTGTTGTTACTGTTGTCTCCTTGCACAAGTAGCTGGCTTGCTTTGGAGACTGAGTGCTCAGTCTCCTACTAAAGTGAAGGCTGGGGCCTTAGAGTGAAGAAGCAAGCCACCTTGTATGTGTAGCTCACGTGTAGTTCCGTGTTTTGTAGACTGGGAAAAGTCTCTGAAAAGCAGATGGAATGCCAAGTCTGTGTATGTGGTTGGAAGTGCCACTGCTTCTCTAGGTAAGGAGTTGTGGGAAGATGAAGGTTCGAATCCTAGGTGGGATGGGTGAGATTTCATACTCAGATCATGTACAGCCTGGAACCTGTGAACTGCTTATTTCTGGAATTTTCCATTTAGTATTTTCAGGCCATAGTTGGCTAACAATAGCTGAAGTGGAGGGAAATGAAATGGCAAAGCAAGGATAAGGGACCACACATGCCTCCTGTATTAAGGGCCAGCCTTATTAAGTCCTCCTGTCTCAGTTCAGTTCCTGGGGACTTCAGGTTTCTTGGCTCACTTGTCCCTGGTAGCATGGGTCAGCAGTGCAGTGCAGGGACAGCTTTGGTCCCGAACAGAGTTTGTACCTGCAGGAGGTTTCTCCCTTAGTCATAGTACATTCCTAATGCTCAAGGAATGAAAAGCTGATGGTGTTCCCATTGAAGCTGTCATTGGTGACAACATAGGTACCAGTTGTATGGCCCCTAAACACAATACCCACCATACACCTTTCCTCTGGAAGTCATGTGTTCCTCTGTGCAGGTAGCAATGCTGAGTGGGGCCCTGCCTTTGTCCACATCCTCTGTCTGGTGAAGGCAAGGAGCCTTCACTGTCTGCTTCTTGTTCTCTCCAAGGAGAGCTTTGTTGGATATGGTGGCAAATGCCTTTAATCCCACCCACCATCCCGGAGGCAGAGGCAGGAGGATCTCTGTGAGTTGGAGGCCAGACTAGCCTATATAGAGCTCCAGGACTACACTGAGAGAGTGGCTAGGATAGCATCCTCCCTAAGTTACCTGTGTCCATAGCGATATGGGTCCTTGTTGGTTGTTGTGAAACATTTTCTCTGTGCCCTCCATTCTGGTCTGGCCATGTCAGCCCATTATCCCTTTCTGGAAGGGAGCTGCTCACATCTCCCTAATGAAATGAGGGCTCTTTAAAGGGATGCTTGCAAAACTTAGTGGTCCCAAATGCTCACCATCTCCTGACTGATAAGCAGATGCCAACAGTTGACCTCATTATCACATAAGCCGAAGACAGTCCTGCAGGGCCCCTGTTTTTAGCTCATTGTAGATAAAGTAAGTGGGGTTCAAAGAAGCTAGTTAAGACAAAGACCCTGTCTAGGGAAGGTGTGCCCAAGACACCCTCATCTCAGAAAGGATAGCTGCGGTCTTTCTACTTGGCTTCCAGAGGACACTTCTCTGTAACTGGGAAAACAGTGCCTGTCCATTTGTACTTTAAAAGGGTTTCAGTAACCGGCAAAGAATTCACCTCTTCATCATTTTCCAGTGAACAAAATCGGCCTGGATGCGGAAGGAGCACACAGTGGCAATGCAGAGAAGCTTGCTGAATATATTTGCTCCAGTAAGTGAAGACCACCTCACTTGAGATCCACCCTCCCCCACAAGACATGCTCCCAAGCAGAGAACTGGCTCCCATAAAGTTGTCTTTGGTCAGCACGTGGACCAGCCCTAGGGCTGTGTGGATTTAGGTAGTGATTTGCCTTAAGCTAAGTGTGGGGTTTTAGGCATCTGAAGAATACAGAGGAGGATTTGGAGTGAGGACAGGAGGATTGAGAATGCCCTCCTCTATGCTGTCTCCTCTCTTCTCTGTGTGTCTAATCCAGCTGTAGACACAGGTCCTTGCAGCTGTGTCACCCAGCCACACAGACTGAAGTAGGATCCTCTTACTCTGTCAGCCGAGGGAATCCAGACCTGCTCTCAAGGTCAGCCTGCTGGTGTTTACAGTTTGGCACGCAGATCTCTGTCAGAGCTGTCAGACTCTAGCTGGAACAGGGGAACATCTGGGGAAAATGTCTTGGCTCTAACTGTGTCTGTAATGTGCTGAGCCCTCTGAGGAAGGGCAGGGTGGAGTACTAACATAGCTTTGGTTTTCCTCAAAGGTTGTAGGATCTGGGCATCTTCTTTTCCCCTTAGTGTATTATCGGGGTAAAGAGAGAAGGACTGTAAATCTTTTTATGGCGTCTTAAACAATGAAAAGCATTGACAAAACAAAACAAAAAACCAAACAAATATGTTAACTATGTCCTCTCGAAGTGTTATTGGCTTATGTGATCTGTAAACATATAGGCTCAAGTCCTTCTGAGGTTCTCATTGCAATAAGCTATTCCCATGAAGGTCTCTAGCTTTTACATTTTAGTGTTCCTCTGGAAGCTGCTCCTAAATCCTGAACTTTGGACTAGGGCTCCCTAGATCTAGACAGACCCTGGCAGAGCGACCTGCAGGTTTCAGCAGCGGTCAGGGAGTGGCAGAGGCCCTCTCCAAGCTGCCGATTCTCTACTTTTTTCAGTATGGAAACAGACATCTCTCTTGGTAGCTTTGACTGTTGATTTGACGTAGTCTAGAGTGACCTGAAGAATCTCAATTGAGAATTATTCAGATCATACTGGACTGTAGACATGTCTTTGGAGTATTGCCTTGATTGATAATTGACGTAGGAGGGTCCAGTCCACTGTGGGCAGCACCATTCCTGGCCATTCTGGGCAAGTGGCCCTGGGTTTCACAAGAAAGCTATCTGGGCCTAACTAAGCCTGTGAGCAAGTTGGCAAGGATCTTTCCTCTACAGTCAGTTTTTTTTTTTTTTTTTGCTTCAAGTTCCTGCTCTTCCTTCCCTCAGTGACAGACTATAAACCTGTCAGCAGAAATAAACCCATTCCTCCCTAAGTTGTTTTGGTCAGTATTTATCGTAGCCATGGAAATGAATCTAGAGCATCTTTCTATTTAAATTATTTAACTGATACAAAAAATTATACATATTAATGACATATCAGTTTCTTTTAAAAACAATTTCAAATCCAGGGGTATAGTTGAGTGTCAGAATTTCCTTCATGTCTGTTGTTATGTCTCCCTTTTTATTTCTGATTTTGTTAATTTGGATATTAACAAAATTCTGCCTTTTGCTTAGTTTGGATAAAGGTTTGTTTATTTTGTCGATTTTCTCGAAGAACCCTTTGTCTCATTAACTCTTTGTATTGTTTTCTTTGTTTCTATTTTGTTGATTTCAGCTCTTAATTTGATTATTTTCTGCTGTCTAGTCCTCCTGGGTGAGTTTGCTTCTTTTTGTTCTAGAGTTTTCAGGTGTTCTGTTAACTCACCAGTGTGGGATTTTTCCAACTCCTTTATGTAGGCATTCAGTGCTATAAACTTTCTTCTTAGCACTGCTTTCATTTGTGTCCCATAAATCTGGGTATGTTATGTGGTAATTTTCATTGAATTTTAGGAAGTCTTTAATTTCTTCCTTGACCCATTGATGATTCAGGTGGGCATTGTTTAATTTCCATGTGTTTGTGGACTTTCTGAAATTAGTGTTGCTGTTGAATTCTAATTTTAAGCCATGGTGATCTGATAAGATACATGGGGGTTATTCCAATTTTTTGTATCTGATGAGGTATGCTTTGTTACCTAGTATATGGTCAGTTTTTGAGAAGTTTCCATGAGGTGCTGAGAAAAAGTTATATTTTATATTTGGATGGAACATTCTATAGATGTCTGTTAAGTCCATTTGAGTCATAACATTTGTTAGTTCCCTTATTTCTCTCAATTTTCTGTCTGACAGACCTGTCCAGTGGTGAGAGTGGGGTGCTGAAGTCTCCCATTGTTAGTGTGTGGGGTTTAATGTGTGATTTAAACTTTAAAAGTGTTTCTTTTACATATGAGGGTGCCCTTGTATTTGGGGCATAGATGTTCAGTATTGAGATTTCCTCCTGATGGATTTTTTTTCCTGTGACTAATATGAAATGTCCTTCTTTGTCTCTTTTCATTGATTTTAGTTTGAAGTCTATTTTGTTAGCTATTAGGATAGCTACACCAGCTTGTTTCTTAGGTCCATTTGATTGGAAAATTTTTTTTCCCAACCCTTTACTCTGAGACAATGTCTGTCTTTGAGGTTGAGGTGTGTTTCTCGTATGCAGTAGAAGAATGGATTGCGTTTTCATATCCAATCTGTTAGCCTATGTCTTTTTATAGTTGAATTGAGTCCATTTATATTAAAGGCTATTAATGACCAGTGATTGCTAGTTTCTGTTATTTTAGTTTTCATTGTTGGTGATGTTATTGTATGTGTTTTTCCCTTCTTTGGGATTTTCTGCTGTGAGATTATCTATTGTCTATGTTTTTGAGGATGTAGCTAACTTCTTGGGTTGGAGTTTTTCTTCTTGTACTTTGTGTAGGGCTGGCCTTGTGGCTAGGTATTGGTTCTGTCATGGAATATCTTGTTTTGTCCATCTATGGTGATTGAAATTTTTGTTGAGTGTAGTAGTCTGGCTGGCATCCGTGGTCTCTTAATGTCTACATAATGCTTGACTAGGACATTCTGGCTTTTATTGTTTCAATTGAGAAGTCAGGTGTAATTCTGATAGGTCTACCTTTATATATTACTTGGCCTTTTTCCTTTGCAGCTCTTAATGTTCCTTCTTTAGTCTGTATGTTTAATGTTTTGATTATTATGTGGTGAGGGGACATTTTTTTTATCCAGTCTATTTGGTGTTCTGTTAGCTTTTTGTATCTTCATATGTATATCTTTCTTTAGGTTGGGAAGGTTTTCTTCTCTGATTTTGTTGAATATATTTTTTGTGCTTTTGAATTGGACTTCTTCTATCCTTATTATTCTTAGGTTTGGTCTTTTCATGGTGTGCCATATTTCCTGGATATTTTGTGTTATTCTTTTGTTAGATTTAATGTTTTCTTTGACCGATGAATCTATTTCCTCTATTGTATCTTCAGTGCTTGAGATTCTCTCTTCCATCTCTTGTATTCTGCTGTTTATGCCTGCATTTGTGGTTCCTGACCATTTTCTCATAATTTCTGTTCCTATAATTCCCTCAGTTTGTGTTTTCTTTACTGTCTCTGTTTTGGTTTTCAAGTCTTGAATTGTTTCTTTCATCTGTTTGATTGCTTTTTCTTGATTTTCTTTAAGGGATTTGTTGATTTCTTCCATTTTTTTGTTTGTCTTTTCCTCCATTTCTTTGAGGGAATTTTTCATTTCCTCTTTGAGGACCTCAAGCATTCTCCTAAAGTTAATTTTAGGTCATTTTCCTTTTTTCCCTTTTTTTTATTGATTTTTATTGAGCTCTACATTTTTCTCTGCTCCTCTCCCTGCTCTCCCCTCCCCTTTAGCCCTCTCCCAAGGTCCCCATACACCCAATTTACTCAGGAGATCTTGTCTTTTTTTACTCCCCTAGGTCATTGTCCTCTGCTTCATCTATATTTGAGTGTTCAAGTCTTGCTGTTGTAGGACCACTAGTTTTTGTTGGTGTCGTGTTGCTCTTTGTGCTATTGAGTGTGTTCTTACCTTGTCTACCCATCTTTTCCTCTAATTGGTGTAGTTGGGGCTGTGTCTCTAGTGATCAGTCTTCCAGGTGCTTGTTCCATGAGGAACATTTCCTTCTTTTGTGCCCACAGGTTAGTCCCTTCCTGGGAAGGCAGCTGAGCTGACTGACTATTCATATGTGAGCCCCACATGCCTATGTGGCAGGTCTCGGCCAGACAAGCCCGTGTCCTCAGCAAGCCCTGCACCACTGTAGCCCAGCCTTAGGGATAAATGATGAAACTTGAGTTCTATGCTTCCAACCCAGCTAGGAATAACAGTATGAAGAGATAAATGTCAAGGGAGAGTCAAGAATCATCTAGAAGCTCCTTCTATGCCTTTGGAGCAAGGCTTGCTGGAAAGTTGAACTGTTTTGGTTTCCCATAGGTGCTCTACAAGTAGCTTTAGTCCCTAGCTTCCTGCACCTTCAGGCCACAACCCTCACATAAAGATACAGGAGAGCCTCCTGGGCTCAGGTGGCGAGCACTGCACCTGAGAGTGTCTTTAAACTGTATGCTCTTTGCTGGAGGAGACAACTCAGCAGGCAGCTGTGATCTATATTAATCATTTCCCAAACCATGTGCTTGTCTATGTTGATACCAATATTTACAGAGCAGTTTAAATAAAACATCCACCAGCATCTCACTGTTGCTTGTACTTCAAACACAGTGGCCTACAGCTACTCTTGTCACTTAGCAACTGCTTCTCAGAGCCAGTGCTAGCCGGGGAGAGTTCTTTCCATTCTTCCTCTGATCTCAGTCACCAGTGCATTCAGAGGGATTGTCATGGTATAGGGAATATGTGATGTTTGTGAATGACCAACACTCATTACACTTTTTGATCTGATATGGAAGAAATGGTTGGTTTTAGTAGAACATGTTGTGTTCACAGTTGAGGAAGGTTCTTGCATCTGACAATCCCTCAGTTTGGTTGGATGGTTTTGTTGCAACTTGCAAAGTGCTCAGGGCTGAACATTGCCTTGGGTCTCCACAGGTGGAGGTGGGTGGTGGGGCAGAGTGAGATTCAGAGCCATTGGAGCAGCCTTCTGTCATCTGTGCCCTTTAGGCTCTTGGTTCAGGGGCTGTTGGCATGACTGGGCACATAGTAGGCTGGGAAGTTGTCCTTGTTGGAGGTGGCTACGGTAGAGCCACTCCAAAGTGCCAGTTCCTTACTGTCTCCTGCACCTGTGCCTGGCTCATCCAGAGCCCCCTCCACAGCTAGGAAATATGCCCAGTGCCAGTCCCTACTTATTTTCTTACTTAGTTAAGTACAAGGCCTGGATTCCAGATAGGGACCATGAATCGGGAGCCACCTCCTGACAGAGAGTTCAGGCAGCAAATAGGACAGCGGTGCTTTGTTCCTGTGACTGAGTTTTCTAGGCTCTTTGCTCAATTTTCCCTCTTTGGTTCTTCATGAACCCTTCAAGGCCAAACAGTACAGCGGTTACCCTTCCTAGTGACAGGCGCTGGAACTGAGATCTTACAGCAGAGCTGAGCCTGGGGCGCCCGGCTTTGCCCTCCTGGGAGTTGCTTTGTGCAGCGTCCCCCTTGGGGATTTTACAAGTTTTCCAGTGTCTGATGGTATGTTCACAGGGTTGTCTTCAGCACTACCTCTCCCTTTGAGATTTTACCGGCTCTACAATGTCTTGTTGTGTGTTCACAGGACCATCTTCAGCACTGCCTCTTCTCTTTCCCTGTGGAACTATCAAAGGAGATACTCTTCCGAAAATGCTCAAGGACAAAGGTGACTAGGATGAGCTCATAGCATCCCCGAAGATGAATGTTCTGAGGCCCAGGAAGAACACAGAGCTAGGATGCAGTTGGGTCTCCTGGCACAACTGTGGGATTCATGGAGCAGCCAGGATCAGAGCTGTGTGGACAAACTCACACTAACATGAGAGCCAAAGGCATCTGTGGGTAACGGATGAAGGCTGTGGTTCTGGGCCTTTCTCTGCTAACTCAGCCTTCCCGACTGCTGATTGATTCCACAGTGCTCTGCAGGCCATAGAGGGCTGGGCAGGGTCTTTTGCCCCCTTGCTGAGCTTTCCATTTCTAGGAGTTGGTGCTTAGAGGCGTGGTGACAGTCCCCATCAGCTGCACTAGGGTGCAGAGGCCCTATCCCATTCTCAGTATGATGAAGCCTGTCTCCTGGTTTTGATTGTGCACAGGGATCCCCATGGAAAGCATGCATGTCTATCAGACAATTCCACACCCTGGGATCCAGGGGAACCTGGAGAGCTACTATGAAAATCAGGTATGTAGAGTTCTAAGGGAGAGCAAGTCCTGGAAGGGCAGGCCCCAGTGTAGGAGCATGAGTTGGGGGTATGAGTTTGCAGTGTTGATTCTCCTTTGGGTGACTGAGCAAGTGGCTTTTCTGCTGCTCCGTTTGTGTGTCTGTGATATGGGAATAGACCCATGCAGTGAAAGTTTTATAAAGATTAAAGAAGATAATTCATACAAAGCTGCTTGTGTAACATCTCCCATATACAAAGGCCTGGAATATACAGTGGTCTTGTTATTGCCTCTGTTCTCCATTCCGTGGGGCAGAGGCTGGGCCCACACTGGGAAGAACTCACTGTGGAGTCTGAATTGGGATTGGGAGACCTGGGGCAGGAGAGTGGAGAGCGCTTCTTACATTAATGGCTAGGTCCATCATTTCCATTCAGAAGTCTCATCCCTTTGCCCTCCTGGGACAGCTTCTGCAGATCATGCCTGTTCTGGGGGTTCTAATGGACAATCCAGCACAGAGAAACCATACAGGCTAGCTAGTTGTCTGCTCTGTCCCTAGTGGGTAGAAGTTGACAGACGCCTACAAGAAGCCTGTTAATTCCATGAGGGCTGTTTAACCCCACGGGCTGGAGGTGCCTCCACTGCTGATGCTGAGCTCCAGAGTCAATGTCTTCTGGTCAGACCGACCGAGGGCCAGCAGAGCACTTGGTCAGTGGGAATTGCCAGTCTCTCCCACCTCAGCCTGCTTTACAAACAAATCCTTCCAACTCTGCTGCGGTGGTCTGAGAATGGCACAGAGCCCGAGAGTGTACCGATGCAGAGTCCCTGTGGGGTCTAGAAGGGTTGAATTGATGAGCTGAGGGATGTTGTCTAGGAGCAAAGCTAGCGCTCATCTTCTCATTTCCCCTAGGGTGTCCCAGCCAGCATCACATTTTTCAGCCCCTCCGGCCTTAAGTACAGCCTGGAGTATATTCAGGCGTTATCTGGTGGCAGATTTGATCAGATTAAGGTATGGTACTCTATGAACTTCAGCCTTTACTCTTTATCCTTTGCATGTTGAGTCAGACACCTGTGAAGTGCCTGGAGAGTCGGGAGGGTCCCTGCGACTTCTTTACTAGTGCTCTGCCTACATTGCTGGTCTCCTCTGGGCGGATCTTACTCTAATTTGGGGATATTAACCCCAGGTGTTTTTGTGTTCTGTCTAGCCGTCCCTGCCCCTGCATGGCACTGTCCTTGATAAGTCGAGGACTCAAGTGAGGCCCTTCTGGCAGGATTTGGTGTGCGTGTTGGTGCCTTCCATGCCTTGACTGAAATGGTTTTCTAGTCTAGAAACATTCATCTTTGCTGTTACTTAAAGGATTCCCATCCACACTCTCAGGGACTGTATTTGTTGAGTCTTTAAGTAGCATCACTCTTGTGGCACCTGCAACAAGTGCCTTTGACCAGACTCTACAGGGACCGAGGAGAAGTACAAAGTGTGGCCTAGAACCCAGGGACAGTAGGTCCCATCCCCACCCCCGAGAGCTCACTTCGGTCAGGTGACGCCAACACTTGGGCTTACCACAGCTGCATCTCACAGGTGTGTCCCACCTGGACTCAGACTGTTTGCCCAGTTTCAAGGTGGAACGTTAGGTGCAGAGCAGCTGAGCCCTGCCCTAGTTCACACAGCTGAAAAGGACGATGCCATGGTTAAAGCCCAGGAAGATACGTGCCAGGCCATGGGCTATGGTGATACATAGCCATGGTCCTAGCAGTTGCCTGGCAGTGGTCAAAGTTCTTGAAGCCATAGCTTGTGCTAGTCTGGTTGTGGGATCCAGCAGGATGGGGGTGACTGTCCTTACCGGGGAAACCCTCCTTACAGGCTTCGACACCTTGCCAGCATCATACAGCACATTATTAGAAGGCCAACTTCTATGAGGGGTGACTAGGGGAGGAAGGTGGCACCTGAGTCCTGTACAGAATTGAAGAGAAAGGTCCATGGGTGCTCAGCATGGTCACTGACTGAGTGAGTTCTTGGGCACTGGGGAAGGGTTAGCAACAGTGCCAATGCTGCTCACATGGCTCTGTGGATGTGGTGGATGAGTCATCGGGTAACCGTGAAGTGCCTGAGCAGCTTTCTGATGGGAACGTGCCTCAGAACTCACCTGGGCTGACCATTCTGGTCTACCTTAATAAGAACTCATACCACGAAAACCTTACTCTGTCCCTGTCCTAAGCAAACCCAAGTTAGAGCAAAATAGACACTTGGAATTTCATCTCAGGGCTTTGCTGCCAGTACTGTCTAGACTCATGGAGCAGCTGGGGCATAGCAAAGGTGCCCATCTTAAATCTGTCCCACTGCTTTCTGCAACCCATGGGTTCTTGCCATCCCCAGTCATCATACTGCCGCTGTTCAGTGCACCACACACCAGTACTTATAAATGCTGCTGTTCAGTGCACCACACACTGTACTTACAGATGCCGCTGTGGCCTTGGGCTCTGCAGCTGCCAGGAAAAAAGGGTTTCTGGGATAACATTGATCACAACAACTGTGAGTTATTCCAGAGCCAGAAAGCCAATATGAAATAATGGGAGTCTTCCTTCATCACTGGGACTGTGCCGGCCCACATGGGTACTGTTGAGGTTGACAAGGAGGAAAGTCCTGAGATCCATGCATTGGGTGGTTTGGCATTCTTATTTTAGTTTGCCCCAGATTTGCACAGTGGCCTTCCTTCCACTGTAGGAGTGTGTGTGAGACCAGTGTTTATACAGTGCTATTTAAAGTGCAGGGGTTCACAGAAAGTTAAGGGGTAACCTATGACCTGTGCTTACTGCTTATGGCTGACTCACATAGAATACCACAAAGGAGCCATGGCAGAGCACTGAGAACTTTACGGCACCTGCCACCAAATGAATGAAAGCCACTGCATCTTCTTTTTCGTTCCTGTCTTCTCTGTGACCACGTGGCCTGTGAGGTGGCTATCTGTGCCATCAGTGAGCATATGCCTGTGCCCAGCACTGAACAAGTAGTTCACCCTGATCACCTCATGTAATCCCCAGCAGCCCAGTGGACAGCCTGGTTGGAGATAAGAAGGTGGGGGCAGAGGAAATGGATGCCGGGATTTGAACCCTGGCCTTCCAGCTTATGACTGTTCTGTGTTCCTGGGGATCCAGACCCACCTTGGCACCCCATACTCCCCAGCTGCTCCCACCCAGAGCCCCTGAAATTGAAGCAGAACTGTCTGCAGTTAGAGCCCCTGAGGAAGATGGTGTCCACCCCAGGCTTCGTCCCCACACACCCAGTCCTAAGGACATGTGCACTTGTATCAGGAGGTGATAGTGAGATCCTGACTGGAGGGATTGTGCAGACCCTGAAGCCAGCTTCAGATTAGGTGGCACTGTTGTTTATATGAAACATCACATAGGAATGGCGTCCTAACAGAAAGTCTGTCCAGATGACGCCTGCACACGGCCCTTGCTGTGGCGCTGAAGCTGTGTCTCTTGTGTCTTGCCTTCTTGCAGTTTGTAGCCATTGGCCCCAGTACAACTCGTGCTATGGCTGCCCAGGGCCTGCCTGTGAGCTGCACAGCGGAGAGTCCCACCCCACAAGCCCTGGCTGCAGGCATCAGGAAAGTGCTGCGGCCGGACAGTTGCTGCTGAGGCCATGCGGGGCCAGCTCCTTCCTCGTGCACAGTACAGCTTGTGCTGCCTCTAGGATAGAGCCCCGAATCAGGGCTCTGGAGAAGCTGCTGGCAGCATATCACTGTCTTCGTGAGTCCAGCTTGGAACCCAGGCCAGGTGTAACTGGCCATTGGACCCTGGGGGAACTTCCTGAACCTAGAAAAAAGGAAATGAAATCATCCACGTGGTTACTTGTGCGTGCAGCCCACTTTCCTTTTAATTCTCTTTTTTATGTATATGGGAGGGTCTTGTCTGTATGTTTCTGTGCCATGTGCATGCCTGGTGCCTGCAGAAGCAAGGAGAGGGTGTCAGATCCCCGAGAACTGGAGTTAGAGACAGCTGTGCATCCCCATGGGGGTACTGGGAATTGAACCCAGATCCTCTAGAGAACAAGTGCTTTCAATCACTGATCCATCACTCCAGCCCAATATTATCATGTGTGGTTCTTGGTGCAAAGTTGTGTTCGGGGGCAACATACATGGTCTTTCTCTGATGCTGACCTGGTTAAGAATGATAAATTGCTATTTGTGAAATGTTTATTTATTATACAAAACCAAAACAAACCACTGAGCCAAGCATGGTAGCACATTCATCATCCCAGCATTCAAGGGAATGGAGATGGAGACAACACAGCCATGCACTTAAGGCCAGCCAGGCCTATATAGTGAGATGCCATCTCAAAAATCCAAATAAAAATAAACAAGACCTAGAGTTCTGACTTTCGCTGTGGATAATTATGCTTCAAATATGAAGATTTTATCTCCTGAAATATAAGAGATGTCATCTCAAAAATCCAAATAAAAATAAACAAGACCTAGAGTTCTGACTTTCGCTGTGGATAATTATGCTTCAAATATGAAGATTTTATCTCCTGAAATATAACTGCAGCATATCGATCAGGCTAACTGCTTTTGGAGAGGTAGAGGAGAGAAGAGGAAGAGAAGATGGAAATGTAGCACCCCGCAGAAAGAGGTTCTGAAAAATCTGTCCCCAAATTTATTTCTTCTAGGTCAGTGGTTCTCAACGTGTGAGTCATGACCCTTCAGAGGGGGCCACATAGCAGACATCCTGCATATTAGATATTTACATGATTCATAACAGTAGCAAAATTACAGTTATAAAGTAGTAATGAGAAAGATTTTATGGCTGGTGGGTCTCCTCTACACGAGGAACTGTATTAAAGGGTTGCAGCATCAGGAAGGTTGAGAACACTGACCTGGGCAGTCCTGGTCTAGATTTGAGCTGCATTAAGAAACGTGGCTGTGGGCTGGTGGTAGGAAAGACGGCTTGCACAGGCAGAGCTGTCTTCATGGAGGGCAGGTTAGAAGGCATCTTCCATGAGGGTACACCCTGCCCAGCCCGATGCCATGGGAAGCTGAAGGATAGACAAACACTGATGGCAGCAGAACAGGAGGGTCCTCACCATCTTAGAGGAGGCATTTACAGAATGTTATCTCCAAACTATAAATGCCTCATGTATGGTCTCTCTCTGGTGCCAAGTGGCCCTGGTCACAGCAAGGCTCCCAGAGGGGCAAGGCAGGCTTGGGTGCAGGTGGGGACCTTGCATGGCCTTTGACATGAGCTTCCAGGCTCAGCTCTAGACTCCAGGGACAGAAGGGTTGCCTCTTACTCCCTCAGGTTGTGTATGCTATGTTGTAGACCTCAGTGGTTCTAGTCTCTCCTCACAGACTCACTCACCAAGGACTGGGACTCCACAATAAGTACCTGTGTTCAGGAACAGTCAGGTATCCAGGGCTTCCATGGAGCTGTTACACACATACATACACTTCTCGGTAGACATAAATGTATGTGTCTGCAAAAATATTCACCGTGGCCTTGCCCCACCACAGGAGCTTGGTCCCCCTTTCTTGCACTGGTTTTAAGTTTTACTTTTCTATATATTGATTAGACGTTCTATTTTTAATTATATTATTTACTATTTATTTGGGCAGCAAGCAGTGAGTATGCTCATAGAGGTCAGAGAGCAACTTCGCAGCAACCGGCTCTCTCCTACCATGTGGGGCCAGGGATTGAACTTAGGACATCAGGTTTGGCAGCAATTGCCTTTACCTGCTGAGCCATCTTGCCTACCCTAGACATACTTTTCTTCTCCATAAAGAAAAGCAACCAGTAAGAAGAAAAATGGCCACAAAGTCTAAAAACAAATTAGCATGCCCTAAGCCCCAGATCACCCAGAAAAAAGCTACTGGAATAGGAGCAAACTGAGGGTTATGGTCTGAAAGCTGCAGGCCTACTCCTAAACGGCACGTTGTAGGGCTCAGGCAGGGCCTTCATAGAGCACAGGTGCATGCATCCTGCACTTCTCCCTCAGTTCATTTAGGAGCAAACTCGACCAGGAAAGTCAATACAGGAGAGCAATCCACAGGCTCACCTCTCCAAAGTACCATACCCCAAGAGCAGAGGAAGCGGAGTTCTCACGCCCATGAGAAAAGGAGCCCTGGGGTCTTCAAAGGCAGCTCACCAGGGCCACAGAAGCAGCTTCCTAGCAGGCACACTTAAGAGCCGGATGAAGAATGCCTGCTTGTTTATAAAAGGGTCCCACCATGTTCGGCTCCCTCAGAGGAGAGACGGGGACGCAGCAAGGTAGGACCAGAGTGTCCCAGTGGGACCATGCTTGCTGCCTCTGCCTTGCGTCTGACACTGCTGCTCTGCTGGCTGGTTGCACCCCAACCCACCCAGCCTGAGAGACTCTTCCACAGCCGGGACCGTTCGGACCTGGAGCCATCTCCTCTGAGCCAGGCCAAGCCCATTGCTGACCTCCATGCTGCTCAGGTAAGAGGAGACCACAGAGCAGCAGCATCTGTGTGCACAGGCAGTATATACCACACAAACACACACACATGTAGACATCAGAGCATAACATGGAAGGATGGCTGTGCAGAGGCAGAGAGCCTGCTTAACCTGGTGTCATCTTTGTGGAGTTGGGACAAACCAGGCAACACACCTCTACCTCCGAGCTGCACCTAGCTCCTTCTGGTGTTAATCCCAGCAGCATGGGTATCTAGGCAAGATCAGCCCTGTGCTCTAAATGTCGGGCGGGACATTCGAATGCGAGCGTGCGGTGCTTCCAGGCACTCTGCTGAAGGCATCCCTTGGTTGACACCTGCCAGCCTGGGCATAAAAAGAACAGTTCCAGCCAAGATTGCCTGCACTGTGCTATTGAGAGGCATCCACTGATGCAAGAAGACCAGGGCTTCCTTTCACCAGTCCTGGGTTGGAGTGGCCTTGAGCAGACCCCCTGCCCCTCGACCACCCTTTCAGTCTGGTGGTTACCAAGCTCCACAAGCAGACAGATGATCAAAATTTCCCCTTAAACTCCTGGCTCCAGAGTGTCCCCAGGGTGGAGGGCAGTGAGAAGGGATGATGGGCCAAGCTTGCCTCAGATGCTAAGGGACACCCCTGCTGCCCCTGCCTTTCCTATCCTTGCGGGTTAGAAACCCACCAGACTCTCAGAATGATTCTTATCTAATCCCTGGAGTTGGGGAGTTTCTTCTTCCTGGGCAGGCCTCCCTCTCAGCTCCTTGGCCCACAGTATACACCCACCTCCAGCCCTAACCTCTTACCTTTGACCTCTTCCCTCCCAGTCCTATTTGCTGGCCTGCTTCAACCCTGCTTCTCCATAGGCCACGCGGCATCCATTACTTTACTCTGGTAGGCCCTGGATGATGTCCTCTATCTCTAACTCCACTCTCTATATCCCCATGCCCCTCCCTACCCCCTATAGCACAGGAAAAATGTTGGCAACCCTGTGAATTTAGGGCTTTTCTTTCCCACAGAGATTCTTATTGAAATACGGCTGGTCAGAGGTGCTTAGTTCAAAGGAGTCACCAGGGGTCCCTCTGGGCTCCACCTTGGCTCAAGCTGTGCGAAGATTCCAGAAGGCAAACAGACTACCAGCCAGCGGGGAACTAGATTCACCTACACTGGCAGCTATGAACAGGCCACGCTGTGGCATCCCCGACACAAGGCTGCCACCTCAGGCTGCTCTGCCGACCCCACCAGCCCTGCCAACCCCTTTGGGTCTCTGGCCCAGGGCCCGTCAAAAGCGCTTCCTTCAAATGCTTCTGCCCAAGCCAGGTGGGCAACATGAGGGCACTTTAGACACTGGGCCCAGGAGGGCCTTCTCCAGGAAGACGCTGACCTGGAGGCTGGTCGGGGATGCCTACAGCAGCCAACTCTCTGTGGAAGAGCAGAGATATATCTTTAGACTGGCCTTCAGGATGTGGAGCGAGGTGACACCACTGAACTTCCGGGAGGACCTCACTGCCCCTGGCACTATGGTGGACATAAAACTGGGTTTTGGGAGAGGTAAGGGGTACAAAGGTGGTATCTCTTCCTATCTATTCTGCAGGCAGTCTTTGATTCTTCCACCAAAGCCCCATGTCCAGTATCAGGCTCATGGCAACCTGGGCCAATCACAACTTGATTGCCTTGTCACCCAGAGTGGTGTGATCTCAAGTCCTACCTGCTGGGTTTCTACAGAGATGACACCTAAGAGGGTGGAACCTACTCTCGGTAGATTCTCAAGTCTTCTTAGCTGTTGGGGTTCACTTGCCTGGAGCACATCCCAGCCCATCACCCACCCATTCTCCTGGTCACATGGAACAGCAGCCGGTACAGCCTACTTGACCTGTGTGAAGACATGTAAAAGCTCTACCTTCTTGCTGGCAGACTGGACAAATACCCTGACTTCCACAGTCCATTTGTGAACTAGAGGTGTTCCATACACCTTGCTGCGCGCGCTCTCTCTCTCTCTCTCTCTCTCTCTCTCCTTCCCTCCCTCTCTCTCTCTCTCTGGATTAATTTCTTAATTCTAGAATACACAAGACATGGTTTGTTATAGAAGTATAGATTTAAGAGATGTTGACCTTGAGGTCCCCACCTCCAATGCTGTCTCCATCAGCACTACCATCACACACACACACACACACACACACACACACACACACACACACCCCAGAGCACACACACAGAGCAGTTAGTATCAAAATGTTTCAAGATGGTTCTAGTTTTGTTTTGCTTTTTTTTTGCTATTTTTGATTTTTTTTTTTTTTTCAAAACAGGGTTTCTCTGTGTAGCCCTGGCTGTCCTGGAACTTGCTTGTAGACCACACTAGCCTCAGAAACCAGAAATCCACCTGCTCCTGCCTCCTGAGTGCTGGGATTAAAGGTGTGCACCACCCCACCCAGCTTGTTTCAAGTCTTTATAGCCACCCTGTTCACACTCAGCGGCATGGTTTCTTCCATGGACCTTAGTAGCTCCTGGAGACTGTGGTGCTGTCAAAAAGGGACTTAAGATGGGCACCTTCATTCACTGCTACCCACCCTTCTCCCCACACCAGGCCGGCACCTGGGCTGTCCGAGGGTGTTTGATGGGAGTGGACAGGAGTTTGCACATGCCTGGCACCTGGGTGAGATCCACTTTGACGATGATGAGCACTTCACCCCTCTCTCCAGCGACACGGGCATCAGCCTTCTCAAAGTAAGAGGCTCCAGTTGCTCTGCCGGGAAGGCAAAGCGCCTAGCACAAGTTCAGAAACCCAGCTTTTCTTTGGTGTGTACATAACCTTCTAGAAGTCTCTGATGGTGGTTCCCCAGTCCTCACCCTGTTTCTCTCCGAAGAAGGCACAACTCTGAAAGGGCATAGGCCAGGCCTCTGTAACTTATAGTGACTGAACCCTGCATCATCAAAGACTCAGGTTTGGTCCCACACCTGCGGTTTGTGTTTCCCTCCTAGGTAGCTGTCCATGAAATTGGCCATGTCCTTGGATTGCCTCACACCTACAGAATA